GGGAAAACGGGGGAGGCGGGGGCAGGGGAGGCGAGGGGGGGGAAACAGGGGGAGGCGAGGGGGAACAGGGGGGGCAGAGGGGGGAACAGGGGGAGGCAGAGGGGGGGGAACAGGGGGAGGCAGAGGGGGCGGGGGGAAAACAGGGGGGGGCCCAAGAGAGGGAACCGGGGAAACAGAGGGGGAAAGGGGGAGGCAGAAGGGGGGGGAAACGGGGGAGGCAGAGGGGGGAAAACAGGGGAGGAGAGGGGGGAACAGGGGGAGCAGAGGGGAACAGGGGAGGCAGGGGGGGAACAGGGGGAGGCAGAGGGGGGAAACAGGGGAGGCAGAGGGGGGGGGAAAAGGGGGGAGGCAGGGGGGGGAAAACAGGGGGAGGCAGAGGGGGGGAACAGGGGGAGGCAGAGGGGGGAAACAGGGGGAGGCTATTGACAGATTGATGTGCTGAGGTGTGCAGTATAAAGGTTTGAATAACCCAAAGACAAGCCAGGGAAGCGCCCTCCTCCTCCTATCACCTAAACAGGCCAGGGAAGCTCCTCCTCCTCCTACTCACCCTACACAGGGCCAGGGAAGCTTCCTCCACCCCCTACTCACCCTACACAGGGCCAGGGAAGCTCCATCCTCCTCCTACTCACCTTACACAGGGCCAGGGAAGCTCCCTCCTCCTCCTACTCACTCTACACAGGGCCAGGGAAGCTCCTCCTCCTCCACTCACCCTACACAAGGGCCAGGGAAGCTCCTTCCTCCTCCATCCCCCTACACAGGGCCAGGGACGCTCCTCCTCCCCCCTACTCCCCCTACACAGGGCCAGGGAAGCTCCCTCCCCTCCTACTCACTCTAACAGGGCCGTGAAAGCTCCCCCCCTCCTACTACCCTACACGGGGGCCGGGAAGTCCCCCCTCCATCACTCTACACAGGGCAGGAAGCCCCCTCCTCCTACTATTTCCCCCTACCAGGGCCAGGAAGCTCCCTCCTCCTTCCTATTTCACCCTAACCAGGGCAGGGAAGTCCTTCCCCTCTACTCACTCTAACAGGGCCAGGGAAGCTCCCTCCTCCTCCTACTCACTCTACACAGGGCCAGGGAAGCTCCCTCCTCTCCTATCATCTACACGGGGGCCAGGGAAGCTCCTCCTCCTACTAAACCTACAAGGGCCAGGAAGCTCCCTCCTCCTCCTACTCACTCTACAAAAGGGCCGGGGAAGCTCCTCCTCTCCTACTCACCCTACAAGGGCCAGGGAAGTCCCTCCTTCCTCCAAATCAACCTAACAGGGCCAGGGAAGCTCCTCCTCCTCCTATCACCCTACACGGGCCAGGGAAGCCCCTCCTCCTCCTACTCACTCAAACAGGGCAGGGAAGCTCCTCCTCCTTACTCACCTAAACGGGGGCCAGGAAAGCTCCCTCCTCCTCCTACTCACTTACACAGGGCCAGGGAAGCCCCCCCTCCCCCTACTCACCCAAACACGGGCCAGGGAAGCTCCTCCCCTCCTACTCACCCTACACGGGGGAAAGGGAAAGGGCTCTTCCTCCTCCTACTCACTCTACACAGGGCCAGGGAAGCTCCCTCCTCCTCCTACTCCACTTACACGGGCCAGGGAAGCTCCCTCCTCTAATCACCCTACAAGGGCCAGGGAAGCTCCTTCCTCCCCTACTTCACTCTACACAGGGCCAGGGAAGTCCCTTCTTCTCCTACTAAATTACACAGGGCCAGGGAAGCTCCCTCCTCCTCCTAACCCCTACACAGGGCAGGGAAGCTCCCTCCTCCTCCTACTCACCCTACACAGGGCCAGGGAAGCTCCCTCCTCCTCCTACTCACTCTACACAGGGCCAGGGAAGCTCCCTCCTCCTCCTACTCACCCTACACAGGGCAGGGAGAGCCCCTCTCATCCTACTCCCCTCTCCACAGGGCGACAGGGAAAGCATGCTAACACAGATAGACATACTAATACGATTAATATAAACAGGGAAAAAGGGTATGACTACAATCAACTCCGACTCAATCTACACAGGTGCCAGGGAAAGCTCCCTCCCTCCTCCCACTAAATCACTCTACACAGGGCCAGGGAAGCTCCCTCCTACTCCTACTCACCCTTACACGGGCAGTGAAAAGCCCCCTCCCCCTCCTCCTCATACTCACTCTAAAAATGGCCAGGAAGGGAAGCTCCCCTCCTCCTTCCTACTCACTCTACCAGGGACAGGGAAGATCCCATCCTACTACTGACCACCATAACACAGGGGCCAGGGAAGCTCCCTCCTACTCCCACTACTCACACCTTACACAGGGCACCAGGGAAGCCCCTCCGCCTCCTCCACCCTACACAGGACCCAGGGAAGGGGGAGGGAAGCTCCCTCTCCCTCATCCTTACTCATTATACACAGGGCCAGGGACAGGGAAGCTCAATCCTCATAATACTCACCCTTACACAGGGGTCCAAGGGAAGCTCCTCCTCAGCCTACTCACTTCTACACAGCGGCCAGGGAAAAGCTCCCTCCTTACCCTCCATTCCATCATTCATCTCATCCCAGCATCGAACCCAACCCACCCCTTGCCAGGTGCCCCTAGCGTGGTTGCCGGGGAATGATGAAATGGAAGTAAAAAGATAATAATCAACAAACAAGATTGAATATTCCCTTTAGACAGAGGGCATGACCAAAAGATATTTTTTACGTGTTTGTTGACACTGTATGATGTTTTAGGAATTTAGGAATCAAAAATGGGGATGAAAGGTTCATTTCCCCCCAGCTCTAGATAGCTCCAGTGCTGTTCATTCTGCTTAGTGCACAGCATAAATCTGCACCCTGACCTTGTATGTGTGTGTATGTCTGATGGTTGCCCACAAAGGACTGGTTTGTAAGTTTCTCTGACACCCCGCCTAACCTGCCTTCCCCCAGGACAAAGAATAATGATAACAACATCCCTCACCACTGGCTTTGATTTTGCAGAAATCATGTGTGCCTGGTTCTTCCCTGACAGTCCCTTAGTCACTAGCACTACAGAACACGTCAGTCCCTCGCAACATGTACAGAACATGGCAGTGGCAAAGGGGCCTTCCTGTGTCGGCCCAAGTGGACTCATTGATTTGTCTTCAGTGTTCAGTCTCAGTGTCTCAGTCTCTCAGGGTATCAGTCTCTCAGTGTCTCAGTCTCTCAGTGTTCAGTCTTTCAGGTATCAGTCTCTCAGTCTTCTCAGTCTCTCAGTGTTCTCCGTCTCAGTCTCTCTAAGTGTCTCAGTATCACAGGGTCTCAGTTGGTCTCGGTGTCTAAGTTCTCAGAGTTGTCTCAGTCTCTCAAGTTAGTTTTTTGGTCGCAGGTATCAGTCTATCAGGTTGTCCAGTATCTCAGTCTTGTCCTCAGTCGCTCAGTTTTGTTTTTTTTGCTTATCAGTCTATCAGTTTTGGTCTCCGAGGGCTTCTTCAGGTCTCTAGCAGTCTTCTCAGTGGCTAAGGGTTGAAGCGTAAGTAGGAAGTTGTTGGATCAGTATCTAGTTCTCAGTGTTGATTGTATATAGTAAATAAGTATATGTAGTATAGAGAGCGAGAGTAAGGCTCTAGAGGGAATAAGAATGGGGGCGAGGCACGGAAGGGGGCGTGGAGAAGGATAAGGAGTCAGCCAAGGGGGAGTAAAGTAAAGGAGAGAAGAGACGAAGGGGGTAAGGCAGAGAGAGAAGGAGCGAAGGTGGGCTCATTTATAGGTTTCACAGAGGCATAGAAGGTTGTTTTGGTCGAAGTGTGTAAGAGATAGTCGGTATATAACGCTCGTCAGAATAGGTTGTACTAGAGAATGGGTCTTTTGTCCTCAAGTCTATCGTCCTATAAGCTATCTTAGGGTCTAAGTCTCTCAGTCTCTCAGTGTCTAAGTCTCTAAGTTCTATTAAGTGGTCTCAAACTCAGGCTTCTCGGTGTATTTGTATAAGTTTATAAGTTGTCTCAGTTCTCTCAGTTATTAAGAATTATCTAAAAGTTGTCTAAGTCTATCAAGTGTTATAAGGTCTTCCCAGTGTATCAGTCTCAGAAGTTTTTGTATAAGTTCTATTCTCAGTATCTACAAGTGTTGTCTAGTCTCTCAGTTTGGTATCAGTCTCTCAAGTTGCATCGATCCAAAGGTATAGCAGTGTCTCAGTCTCTAAAACTATCAGGTTCTCAGGGGTCTCAGTGTCTCAGTATCATAGGGTCTCAGTTGTTCAGGTTTCTCCTCAAGGTCCAGCTTTCAGTGTCTCAGTCTCTCAGTTGTCTCAGTCTCAGTGTCAGATCTCAGTTGTCTCAGTCCTTCTCCGTTTTGTCAGTATAATCAGTGTCTCAGTCTCTCAGTCTCTCTAGTTTGTCTACAGTCTCTCAGTGTACAGTACTCTCAGTGAGATGTCTCTCTCAGTCTATTCAGTCTCAGTGTCTTCTCAGTTGTATACAGTCCTATAAGTTTGTCACTCAGTATATCAGGTTTTCTCTAAGTTCTTTCAGTGCCGCAGTTCTATCAGTCTCTTCACAGTGTCTCAGTTTCTCCAGTATCTCAGTCTATCAGTTGTCTCAGTGCTCAGTGTTTTGGTACAGTCTATAATGGTCTTCTAAGTGTTAAAGTCTATCAATGTTCTCAGGTTCTCAGTCCTCTCAGTGGTGTCTCAGTCTCTCAGTGTCTCAGTCTCAGCTCTCCGTGTCTCAGTCGACTCGTTGTCTAGTCTCAGTCTCTCAGTGTACTCAGTCTCTCAGTTTTTTTTTGTCTCAGTCTCAGTCTTCAGGTTCGTCTCAGTCTTCAGGCTTCTCAGTTGTCTCAGGCCAGTTGTCAGGCTCTCAGTGTCGCAGTCCTCAGTGTCTCAGTCTCAGTCTAGTCAGTTTGTCTCAGTCTCGCAGTTAGTGCCTCAGTCTCTCAGTCTCTCAGTGTCTCAGTCTCTCAGTGTCTCAGAGTCTCTCAGTGCCTCAGTCTCTCAGGCCTCAGTCTATCAGTCTCTATCAGTTCTCAGTCTTCAGTTGTTCAGTCTCAGTTCTCAGTTGTTTTGGCTCAGTCTACCAGTGTCTCAGTTTGTTATCGTGTCTTAGCTTCAGTGTCTCAGTCTCTCAGTCTTGTCTCAGTCCTCCAGTCTCTCAGTGTCTCACTCAGTCTTCGTGTATCAGTTCTCAAGTGTCTCAGGTATACTAGTTTGTCTCAGTCCTCAGTCTCTCAGTCTCTCAGTGTCTAAGTGTTGTCTCAGTCTCTCCGTGTCTCAGTATCCTCAGTGTCGTAAGTCATCAGTTGTCTCCGTCTCTCAGTCTCTCAGTCTCTCATCTCTCAGTTGATCAGTCAGGCTCTCAGTTGTTCTCAGGCTCTCAGTATCTTCAGTGGCTTCAGTATCTGCGTCTCTCAGTTATCAGTCCTTCAGTGTCTCAGTATCTCAGTCTCGTCAGTCTCTCCAGTGTCGCAGTCACTCAGTGTCTCAGTCTCTCAGGTCTCTCAGTCTATCAGTGAGCAGTCTCAGTTCTCTCAGTGTCTCAGTTCCTCTCAGTCCTCAGTGTTCGTTCTCAGTGTATCAGTCTCTCAGTGTCTCAGTCTCTCAGTCTATCAGTCTCTACAGTTTGTCTTCAGTCTATCAGTTGTCTCAGTCTCCCAGTGTCTATCAGTCTCTCAGTGTCTCAGAGTCTCTCAGGCTCTCGTGTGTCTCAGTCTCTCAAGTCTAGTCTCTCAGGCCTCAGTCTCTCAGTGTCTCACAGTTTCTCTCAATCTCTCAGTACTCTCAGTTGTTCTCAGGTGTATCTCAGTCTCTCAGTCTATTCAGGTCAGTCTCTCAGTAGGTATCAGGTCTCTCAGTCTGTTTTGTCTCGTATCAGATGTAGTCTCTCAGTTGTGTCTCGTTCAGTGTCAGTCTCTCAGGTCTCAGGCTCTCAGTCTATCAGTGTCTCAGTCTCTCAGGGTCTCAGGTCTATCAGTGGTATCAGTCTCTTCAGGTCTTCAGTGGTCTCAGTCTCCTCAGGGTTCAGCTCTCAGTCTCTCAGTCTTTCAGTGCCTCAGTCTTCAGTCTCTCGTGTCGTCAGTCTCTCAGTATCTCCGTCTATCAGTGGTCTCGTTGTACCAGGTCTCCGTCTCTCAGTCTCTCAGTTGTATCAGTCTATCACAATTGTATCAGTCTCAGTCTCTCAGTGTATCAGTTCTCTCAGTGTCTCAGTCTCAGTCTCTTCAGTGTCTCAGTCTTCCGTGTCTCAGTCTCAGTCTCTCAGGTCTAGTCTCTCAGTTGTCTCAAGTCTCAGTCTATCAGTGTCGCAGGCTCTCAGTCTCTCAGTGTCTCAGTCTCAGTTGTCAGTCTCTCGTTTGTCTCAGTATCTCAGTTGTCTCAGTCTAATATATCAGTGTCTCAGATCTCAGTGCCTCAGTCTATCAGTCTCTCAGTGTATCAGTCTCTCAGTGTATCAGTGGTCCAGTTGTCTCAGTCTCTCAGTCTATTAAGTCTCTCAGTCTCTCAGTCTCTCAGTGTCTCAGTCTCTCAGTCTCTTCAGTGCTCTCAGTCTCTCAGTGTATAGTCTCTCGAGTTTTTGCCCTCTCAGTGTCTCAGTCTCTCAGTTGTCTCACGTCTATCAAGTATTCAGTTTTCTAGTTTTGTCTCAGTCTCTCAGTTCTCTCAGTTGTCGCAGTATGCTCAGTTGTCCAGTACTTAAGTGCTCAGCTTCTCTCAGCTCTCCAGTGTCTCAGTCTCTCAGGTGTTATCAGTCTCCAGTCTATAAGTGTCTAAGTCTATCAGTTGTCTCAGTTGTCTCAGTCTCTCAGTGTATCAGTTCGTCTCAGTGTCTCAGTTCTCTAGTGTTGTCTCAGTTATCTCCAGTATCTCAGTGTCTGAAGTTCTCGTCTAATCAGGGTGCTCAGGGACCTCAGTAGCTCAGGTGTATCAGTGTGGTATAGTAGCTCATCTAATCGACGATAATAAGAAGAGAAGCGAGCGACGAGAAGAGAAGAATAAGAGAGAGAAGAAGAGCAGCGATCGAGAAGAGAAGAAGAGAAGAGAAGACGCCGATACGTAGAAGAGAAATCAATAGAATACAGAGAAGCTACGATAAGCTCCTCTCCTCGAAGAGAATCCTAATATCCTCATATATAGGATAAACAACGCTTGGGGGGAATTCCTTTTCAACAGTCATATGTTACACATATGTACACATTGAATTATTGCTTCTGGGGACTTCCATAGAGCTACAGCAAGCAGAAGCCGGTGGGTGGTATGGGTAATGAATACATTCATTAAACCACAGTACTAGACAGTCCCATATCAAAAACAGTGTAAGAACCTTACAAATATTTCTGCGGATTCGAATATCTAATCAACAAATCATTAATGCATTCCTAGATTAGATTGGATGGCATTTCACTTCCATCAAAACACTATTATGCTTTGGATGCCGTATTTCTAGACCAGACCGGTCTCCAATATACAGTATCGCAAACAAAAATATGTATTCACAACCCTCAAGCTGAGAGTTTGGACTGTCTGCCAGGGGTGATGCAGCCCAGAGAGGCAGGAGAGGAACAGAGGGTGGTCTGTTGGTGTAGTAGAACGGG